AGTAAGGTATATTGGTAATGTGGTAACTAATAGTTGGACCCCGGCCATACCTTACGTATATAACTTGTGGAAGACCTTAGGGCCTCTCTGTACGTCTCAATATTGGAAGACCTAAGGGCCTCCCTATAAGTCTCTATATATCTCGGTAGACCTTAGGGCCTCCGTGTACGTCTCAATATTGGAAGACCTAAGGGCCTCCCCATAAGTCTATATCTATCTCGGTAGACCTTAGGGCCTCCGTGCACGTCTCAATCATAGAAGACCTAAGGGCCTCTAACAACTTCTCAATCTTAGAAGACCTAAGGGCCTCTAACAACTTCTCAATCTTAGAAGACCTAAGGGCCTCTAGCAACTTCTCAATCTTAGAAGACCTAAGGGCCTCCCTCAACAACTTCTCAATCTTAGAAGACCTAAGGGCCTCTAACAACTTCTCAATCTTAGAAGACCTAAGGGCCTCTAACAACTTCTCAATCTTAGAAGACCTAAGGGCCTCTCGCAACTTCTCAATCTTAGAAGACCTAAGGGCCTCTAACAACTTCTCAATCTTAGAAGACCTAAGGGCCTCTAACAACTTCTCAATCTTAGAAGACCTAAGGGCCTGTAGCAACTTCTCAATCTTAGAAGACCTAAGGGCCTCTAAAAACTTCTCAATCTTAGAAGACCTAAGGGCCTCTAACAACTTCTCAATCTTAGAAGACCTAAGGGCCTCTAACAACTTCTCAATCTTAGAAGACCTAAGGGCCTCTAACACTTCTCGATCTTAGAAGACCTGAGGGCCTCTAACAACTTCTCAAGCTTAGAAGACCTGAGGGCCTCTACAAACCTCCCCTATTAGAAGACCTGAGGGCCTCTACCAACTTCTCCTCTTAGAAGACCTGAGGGCCTCTAACCAACTTCTCGATCTTAGAAGACCTTAGGGCCTCTACCCACTGATCTCTTGGTGGAAGACCTCAGGGCCTCCGCATATTTCACTAACTTGAAAGACCTTAGGGCCTTCACCGATTACTCTCGCTCATCTAGGAAGATAGACCACTCGAACAACAGCACGGGAACGGGCCACGGACCCCAGGGCGACGGAACGCATCTCGAAAAGGACGAGCGGACGGCGGACCACCAGGCGACGAAACGCATCCGAAGAAGGACGACCCGAGCCGGCGCACGGCGAACTGGAGCAGATATTCTCAATTGCCAACACCAAAACCCCGTCTTACCTCTTTGTACCCTTATCTACAATAAATTGTTTAGTCCAAGTATAACCTAACTATCGGCCTTCTCCTCTGGAACCCGGATCGAAAACTTCCTTACAGCAACCACCTCAGACAACAAATAAATATCTGAGACGAACCCTGGCCATCCTTGAGCCCCGAGGTATGACTAACCGTCACAGTGGCGCCCGAGCAGATTGAAGTGGTTGCAAGGAACAGACCGACACCGGCAGAGTTATGTCAATCTGGGTATACCTAGCGCCGAAAAACGAACTTACGGAATACGCGGAAGAGTTCGGATTAGACACGTCAGGGAAAAGCGAAGAGCTAAGACGACTACTGGCAGCGTTTGCCAAGAAAACGGATCATAACGAAGAGGTCAGACAACGGCTCGCCGAGCTAACGATAAGGTACAAGAGGGACAAAAGTCCGACAAGAGATATCATACCGGAAATCGTAATTTTCGAGGAGGAGGAGCAAGGACAGCAAATCGCCGGACCAGCGGTGAGATACAGAAGGAACAAAAATCCGGCAGAGATAAGACCGGAAAGCAGAAAAGAGGACCAGAGCAGCGAGGAAGAAGCAACAACAAGCGCAAAAGCTCGGATCAGAGCAGTGAAGAAGGAGAAGCTAAACGGAACGATGGAAGGAGAAAAGGAAAGAAAAATGGAGTGGAGGATGGAAACAGAAGTGGTTAACCGAGTACGGAGCTGGGGAATCCGATACCAAGGGACAACGAACCCACTGGAGTTCTTAGACAAAATGGAGCAGTGGGCGTCCGGATACGGTATTCAGGAGAACCAGCTCATTCAAACCATGCCGTACATATTGGAAGGAGCCGCCATAGACTAGTGGAACACCACGCCAACCGAAATAAACACATGGAAGCAACTAACAACAGAACTGCTGGAGTACTTCCTACCTCCAAGGTACGAGGAACAACTAAGAACGCAGATCGCACAGCTTAAACAGCGGGATTCAGAACCGGTGAGGGAATACGCTATGGGATTAAGAAAGCTGATGCGATTCACGAAACTGTCAGAAGAGGAAAAACTCGACCGCATATTTAACAACTGTAGGAGCAAGATCAAGCTCTACACGCGGAGATCAGGATTTAGGTCGCTGACGGAGTTCCTCAAACTGGCAGAGGAAGTAGAAGAGATCGAGGCAGCGGACCAGACGCGACACAACCAACCGGCACAGCAGCAAATACGGCCGGAAATTTGTAAGCGATGCGGCGGGACAGGCCATGCGGCAACCCGCAACGGTTATTCTGCTGGGTCTGTGGAAGAAACGACATCAGAACAACGGAATGCTGCAGAATGGAACCGGGAAACGCAGGAGGCCTGAGCAGATAAAGCTTGCAGCTCAGGCGACAAGACTAGAGCCAGCACCAGGAAAGCAGCTGAGTTGCGACGGGTACCAAATAACCGCACGCATCAGGGTCGGGAGCAGAACGGCGAAGGGAATAATTGACACCGGAGCGTCCCGTAGCGCGATAAGTATGAATAGGTACCAAGACCTCAGAAAGCAGGGCAGGTGGAGCGGAGCCAGGGCCGAAATCATGATGGCTAACGGATCGAACCAGAGAACAGTAGGAATGTTCACAGCGGATATCCAATTCGCGGGGAAGGCATTTAGCCTGACATTCCTGATTCTGAAACAGGTCGCAGGCGGAATCTTGTTAGGAATGGATTTTCTAGCCGGGGCTCACAGCCTACTACGGTGCGGGAAGCTGGAACTGGAAATAACAGCCATAGAGGACAAGGGGAGTGAGATGGACCCGACAGCCAGTGGAGCCGACGAGGAGATGCCAGAACCATCGGACGCGGAAGTGCAAGCGTTCCTGGAGAGTCAAAGGCAAGTATTCGAGGGGTTGCAGGGAGTGAGTAACATTACGAGACACGCAATACACTTAAAGGACGACAGACCTATAAAACAACGGTATTATCCACGGAACCCGAAGCAATAAGCGATAATTAACGAACAGGTGGACGAGTTGTTGGCATTAGGGCTGGTGGAGCCATCGCACAGCCCATATAGCGCACCCGTAGTGTTGGTAAAACAGAAAAACAACACGTGGCGGATGTGCATAGATTATCGACTGTTGAACGAAATAACGGAGAAAGACGCTTACCCGGTACCAAGGATGAACTATATACTGGACCAATTAAGGGAAGCAAAGTTCATAAGTACGATAGATCTGAAATCCGGGTACTGGCAGATACCAATGGAGAAAAACAGCCAGCAGTACCGGGACGGGGGCTATTCGAGTGGAAAGTAATGCCACTCGGATTGACGACAGCTCCAGCGACGTTCCAGCGGGCACTAGACACAATAATAGGCCCATAAATGGAACCATTTGCGTTTGCCTACCTAGATGACATCGTGGTCATTGGACGGAGCAAACGAGAGCATCTGGAGAAGCTGGGGGAAGTGTTCAGAAGACTGCAAAGGGCGAACCTAAAGATAAATCCAGAGAAATGTCAGTTCTTCCAGAAAGAACTGAAATATTTAGGACACGTGGTGACCGACAGAGGAATCAGAACGGACCCTGAAAAAATAGCGGCAATCCAAGAGCTGGCGGCACCGAAAACAACGAAGGAGGTGCACAGTTTCCTAGGGATGGCGTCATGGTATCGAAGGTTTATACCTAACTTCACGGAACAGGCCGGAGCGCTCCAAGACCTCCTGAAGAAAGGAAAAAAGTTTGAATGGGCCGAGAAGCACCAAAAGTCGTTCGACAGTTTGAAGGAAAGTTTGACAAGAACTCCAGTACTGTCATGCCCAGACTTCAGTCGTAAGTTCAAACTACAGACAGATGCCAGCGACTTAGGGATAGGCGCAGTACTAACGCAGGAGGGAGAAGACGGAGAACACGTGATCTCGTACGGCAGCAGAAGGCTAAGTAACGTGGAACGGAACTACAGCGCCACCGAGAAGGAATGCCTTGCGATATATTGGGGCATCAATAAGTACAAAATGTACTTAGAAGGCTACCAATTTGTGGTGGTTACGGATCACATGGCACTGAAGTGGCTTAATTCAATAGAGAGTCCGTCAGGAAGAGTCGCTAGATGGGCGTTAGGTCTCCAACCCTTTCAGTTCGAGGTGCAATACCGAAAGGGAAAATTGAATGCGGTAGCAGACTCACTATCAAGAGCACCAAGAATCGAACTAAAAGCCATCAAGGAGGCAAAGGACTGGCTGGAACAAAAGCTCGAAGAAGTAGAGAACGACCCAGGAAGCATAGAGTTCAAGAAAGTGGGAGATCGACTCTATAAATTAGGCGGTGATAGCGAGGACTCACAGCCATGGAAACTATGCGTCACAAAGGAGGAGATACAACAGGTGTTGGCAGAGAACCATAGCACGGCAGAAGCAGGTCACTTAGGCATCTACAAAACGCTGAAACGGGTCAAGCAACGATACTTCTGGCCACGACTGGGAAGGGACGTAAGACGGTTCGTCAGGGAATGTTAGTGTTGCCAGCGATACAAAGTTTCCCAGCAAAAAACAGCAGGAAAAATGTTGACAAGGATCGCGGAGGCACCCTGGGAGACGATGTGTGTCGATTTTGTCGGACCACTTCCCCGCACTAAACACGGGAATACCACGTTGATCGTAATAGTGGACAAGTTCTCGAAATGGGTAGAACTGGCTGCAATCCGACAAGCAACCGCCGAGGCGTTCTTAAAAGTCTTCAGAGAAAGGGTAATAGCGAGAGTTGGAGCGCCAAAAATACTGATCTCGGACAATGGGGTCCAGTTCACGGGGCGGAAAACGAAAACCGCTATGGAGAAATGGGGCGTGCGGCAACAGTTTACAGCACCGTACACGCCTCAGGAAAACCCAACAGAACGCACAAACCGCACCGTAAAGACGATGATAGCGCAACTGGCGGAGCAGGAGCCTACGAAATGGGATGAGCACCTACCCGAACTAATGTTGGCATACAATAGCAGCACGTCGGAGTCAACCAAATTCAGCCCGGCACAGCTGATATTCGGGAAGGAGTTAAGGCTACCCAACACAGTATTCGACGCCGTAACAGCCGGATCAGGGCTGACGGGGGAAAATATAGGTACAAGATGGAAGAGGCTGAACAACCTGAGGGAAGAAGCCACGGCAAATATGCAAGAAGCGGCGGAAAAACAAAAACAGCACTACAATTTACGTAAGCGGGAGTGGAAGTCGACGGTAGGGGACTGGATATGGTGCAAAACACACCCACTATCCAACGCAGCAGTCCAGTTCAACGCCAAACTCGCGCCAAAGTATGACGGGCCATGGAAGGTAGGAAAATTCATATCCCCGGTCATAATACACGTACGAAATCCAAAAACCCATAAAACAAAACGCGTATACATTGGGGACACAAAACCACATCTGGGGTACGAATCAGAACCATAAAACACAACACAAAATACCCATAACACAACACTAAAACACACACACAACACAACACTAACCAAACCACATCTGACAACACTAAGGCTACAAACATAGTGCGCGCTGAGACGAAGCTGAAAATGAAGACGAAACTGAAAACGAAAAACAGTGCAGAACAATTCATATGAATTCGCTCGCCCGCAAACATAGTGCGCGCTGAGACGAAGACGAAGATGAAGACGAAACGCAAGCGATCAGCTTCAAACGGAGCAGTACTGTTTTTGAAGAAGAATCGCTTGCTATTTTGAGTTGTTCTTCTTCTTTTTTTTTACATTTTAGGGGAAAAACTGGAATTTTTAGGGGAAAATTTCAACTTTTTGAAATTTTTTAAGGGGGAGAGTCAAATTTTTATTTGGCAACACTGCAATTAACTTGTGACTTGCGATTTTCCTGAAGCACATGTTTTGTAAAAATGTCTATAATTTAAAAAACAATGTTTATGGGACCAGCAGAATAAACTATACAATAGGCATATTGTGGACCAGAATTGGAATGATATTTTAAAGGAATTGAATGTTGATGAGAAATCCATAGCGACTAACATCACACAATCGCAACAAATTCGTCTTCCACTATGCAACCTATTAGCTTACTCGCATCGCAAGCAATTCGTTTTCAGCTTCGTCTTAATTTTCATCTTCGTCTCAGCGCGTACTATGTTTGCAGCCTAAGGTTTAAACATTACAAAACACTGAACAGAGGCCAATTCAGCAAAAGTAAAAAATCTCTTCGAATTTTAATTACAGGGAAGATGCAGCGGCTCCAGGAGAGCATGAAGCGGTTCCGGCAGCGCCACGCAAGCCTAGCAGCAGCTGCCAGAACGGTGTCAATGGTGGAAGCATCGGCACTGCCAGGGGGCACACGAAAGAGGACGGCGCCAGCAAAGATGGGCACAGCGAACGAGGAGACAACGGCAGCACCAGGGAGAAAGCGGATTGCGCACACGCCGCCAGTGACAGCAGAGGCAGGAGAGCGAGGCCGGGAACAGCCGGTGCCCAAAATGCGCCCAGTGCATACTCTGCGTCGACAAGGAGCAGCAGACACCGACAGTATGGATGAAGGATGCTACTGCCCAAACAGAGCCCTGGCGAAGGCTGAGTCAGCCAAATGGACTACCAGCAACTGCGCCTGCCCCTACACCAACTGGCGCAGCGCAGCAGGGAATCCCGAAAGGGCCCAAAAAGCCCCGGAAAAAGCCTCAAGGAGCCCAGCCAGAGCCCGCGGAGGCCCACGTTGCCGCCCGGACTCCGAGAACCCCGGAAAACCCGCTGGTGAATGGGAGGTAGTTGCCAAGAAGCCGAGGGCAGCGCGCCGTGGACGTCCTGATGCTGTCATCGTGCAGGCAAACGGCAAGTCCTACAGCGAGGTGCTAGCCATGGTGACCAGGAGGGGCGACAAGCAGCTGTCGGCCCTGGGTGCCTGTGTCTCCAAGGTCCGTCGCACTAACAACGGCAACCTGCTCCTGGAGGTGGCCAGAGGGAGCGTGGAGAGCGCCGAGACCATGAAGGAGAGAATCGAGAGGGTGCTCGGTGACTCCGCGACTGTTCGTGCGTCGACGGAGAGCACGAAAGTGTTGGTTTTGGAGATACGAAACATCGACTCCATCACCTCGAAGGAGGAGGTCTGTGCCGCTATCGCCGGCCAGTTCAATTTCGAAGTTGGACGTGTGAGAGTCCGGAGCATGCGCCGCGGCCACTCAGAGACGCAGCAGGCGGTGGTCAGTCTGCCCATCCCATTGGGCAAGGCAGTTTTGCAGCGTGGCGAGGTGCGTATCGGATGGTCGATGTGCAGGATCCGGGAAAGATCCGGTCCACCGAGGTGCTTCAGATGCCTGGAAACCGGGCACATTGCGATCCACTGCAAGAACCCGGTGGATAGGAGTGCCTGCTGCATCAAATGCGGAGAGTCGGGCCACAAAGCAGCCAGGTGCGCCAGCGAGCCCTCTTGTTTCCTTTGCAAGGCGGCCGGAAGTAAGGACACAACGCACCAGGCAGGCGGCAGCGGCTGTCCAGCTGCTGGCGGAGGGAAAGGGAATAAACCAACCATATGCAGCTAATCCAGTTAAACCTGAATCACTGCAGGGCCGCGCAGGATCTTCTGACGCAGACGGTGCGCGAACGCGGCTCAGAGGTAGCTATCCTCAGCGAGCCATACAGGATAGGAAGCAGCCGGGACTGGGCCACGGACCGTACTGGCAAAGCGGCCCTATGGCTATGCGGAGCGGGTGCGCAGCAGATGAGCGACATCAAGGCGACTGACGGCTTTGTCAGAGCAAATGTTGGCGGTACGTGGCTATACAGCTGCTACCTGGCGCCCAGCCTTTCGCTGGAGTCCTTCGGTCGGATCCTGGATGAGTTGAGCATCGACCTCCGGGGTCGTAGCAACGCGGTGGTCGGTGGCGACTTCAACGCCTGGGCTACCGAATGGGGATCTTCTCGGACAAACGCAAGAGGCCGCGCGGTGCTGGAAACCTTTGCCTCGCTGGACGTCGTCCTCTTGAATGAAGGCTCCCGGCAGACCTTCAGCAGGGCAGGCGCGGGATCTGTCATCGATCTCACTTTCGTTAGCAGTGCGCTGGCCCGCCACGCCTGTTGGAGGATCGGGGAAGTCTACACTGCCAGCGATCATGAGGCCATCGAATGCACGCTAGGGTTGGGCGGCCGACCCAGTGGCACCACACCTCTACCAAGAAGGGCGTTCCGGCAGGACACCTTCAGACCTCGGGCCTTTGTAAGCGCCCTTGAGGGATTCTCAGTGGACGAAGCGGACGGAGCTAACGGGATGGCAAACAAGCTTGCTGACGCCTTGGAAAACGCTTGTGACCAGAGCATGCTCCAGAGGAGGCCATTTCGAGGAAACCACCGCCCGGTTTTCTGGTGGAGCGAGGAGATCGCTGAGCTACGCCGCATCTGTCACCGCTCCAGAAGACTGCTTCAGCGAGCAAGAAGCAGCCCGCTCCTTGTGGAACGTAGCGAGCGATATAAAGCGGCGAGAAAGGCGCTGAAGATCGCTATTAGAGACAGCAAGCGGGAAAGCTTCCTGAAGCTGTGCGATGCCACCGAGGATGATCCATGGGGAGGCGCGTACAAGATGACGGTGAAGAAGCTCAACGCGGGGGGAAACGCCCCATTCGACCCGGAGGCACTGGAGGGGATCGTCAAAGCCCTATTCCCAGATGGTCAGCCTGTCGGAAACTTCCCAAGAGCTGAGCCAGGAGAGTTCCGCAGCGTCACGGAAGCCGAGGTACTGCAGGCTGGCTGAAACATAAAACCCAAGAAGGCGCCGGGACCCGACGGGATTCCTAGCAGAGCGACAAAGCTGGCTCTAGCGTTGCTGCCGGAGCAGGTGGCCGGGCTTTTCAACAAATGCCTCCAGGAAGGTACGTTCCCTGTAAGGTGGAAACGGCAACGGCTGTTATTGCTGGCCAAGCCAGGCAAGCCACCAGGAGAGGCTTCCTCCTACAGGCCAATCTGCCTGCTGGACATAGTAGGCAAAGTCTTCGAGAGGGTGATCGCAACCAGGATGACAGAAGCCGTCGAAGCAGCGGGCGGCCTATCCACTGAGCAATACGGCTTCAGGAAGGGAAGGTCGACCATGGATGCCATCATGAAGGTGGTCGAGACAGCTAGGGAAGCCATCGCTGGTTCCAGGTGGAGAGGAGGAACGAAATCCTACTGTCTAGTGGTAACTCTGGACATTAGGAACGCGTTCAATACGGCTGATTGGGGGCGGACACTGGAGTCCCTGAGGATGTTTAACATCCCTAGCTACCTGCTCAATATAGCGCTAAGCTACTTTAGCAACAGAGTGCTCACGACGGACACATGCCAGGGTTCCAGAGCATACAAAGTCTCAGCCGGAGTCCCGCAGGGCTCCGTTTTGGGACCCCTGCTCTGGAACGCCATGTACGATGGAGTGCTGAGACTCCCAATGCCAGTGGGCACCAGCCTGGTTGGTTTTGCCGATGACGTCGCCATAGTGGTGGTAGCCAAGGAGCTAGCTACGGTGGAGGCTCACGCTGACGCAGCGGTGCAGGCTGTAGAGTCGTGGCTAGCGAACGCAGGGCTGCAGCTGGCGGCCCACAAGACGGAGGCGGTGCTTGTCTCAAGTCGAAAAGCGGTGGAGACAGCTAGCGTGAGGGTCGGTGGAACCACGATACGGTCCCAGCGGGCAATCCGGTACCTTGGCGTTCTTCTAGACACGCGCCTGTGCTTCAAGGAGCACCTGGACTTTGTGCACAAGAAGGCCAGCGGAACCGCAGGAGCTCTATCCAGGATGCTGCTAAACACCAGAGGGCCGAAGCAAGCAACCCGGAAACTGCTCACGACGGTTGTGACGTCGCAGATGCTGTATGCAGCGCCAGTGTGGGCGGAAGCAGCTAAGGTAAAAAGCTACGTGCGAGGGGTGGAGGCAACCTATAGGCTGTGCGCCGTCAGGATCGCGTGCGCCTTCCGAACCATTTCGGAAGACGCGGCGCTGGTCATCGCCGGACAAGTCCCGTTGACGGAGCTCGTTCGGGAGAGGGCGGATATCTACGCAGCCGCGCAGATCAGGGAAGCAACCCAGCAGACTAGAGCTGAGTCGAAGATTACCGCCAGAAGAAGAAGCCTCGAGAACTGACAGAATCGCTGGGACTCGTCGCAAACAGGACGCTGGACGCACACGCTCATCCCCAACCTTACGAGCTGGGTAGAGAGGTCGCATGGGCAGGTAGACTTCTACCTCACCCAGGTGATCAGCGGTCATAGCTGCTTCTGCAGCTACCTTAAGCGATTCGGCCACGAGACGGAGGACTGGTGCCCAGTGTGCGGCTCCGGCGTCGTCGAGGACGCGCGGCACGTGCTGTTCGAGTGCCACCGGTTTGACCACGAGCGTCAGAAGTTGGAGGCGGTAGCAGGGTCCAGTATCTTGCCAGAGACACTGGTGCCGTTGATGTTGGCAGACCAGTGTGTGTGGGAGGCTGCAGCAACATTCGCCGCGGATGTCATGAAGTCTCTCAGGGAGCAGGAGCGAAGGCGAAAGGAGCAGACGGAGTAGGGGTCACAGCGCCCACGAAGCAATGCCAGGCGGCGGTACCGCTGGGCGTCCGATTCATATTCTTCTGTAACTGTAAAGCCAACTATGTGTATATGTAGTGTAGGTCTATTGTAAGTGTAATAAACATATATCGAATACAAAAAAAAAAAAAACAGCAGAGGCAGGGGACGAGGCGAGACAGCAGCACCATCATCACGCCGCCAGTCGCCGATGAGGATAACACAACCCTCATGCGCAGTTGCCAACGCACGCTCGGCACCGTCGGCGGATCAGGCACAACAACGAGGCAGCCGCCAAACACCAACGGCAGCCACGGGCCAGCAGCAGGCGCCGCCACGCAACTACCAAGGTCGACCGATAGCACCGGACAACCGACAGCGCCGGTCCGCCAACCACGTCCGGCAGTCCAACAGCAGTCGCCGAGACGTAGCTGGAACCGGACCACACCAAGACAGGCAGAGGAGCACGGGCACCAGACCAAGGAAAACAAACGCCCGCATCCGCCAGGGATGGCAGCCACCTCACCCGACCGTGACGCAATTGAGATCGACTCGGACGATGTGAACACGTGGGGATGGAGGATCCCAGCGGGAGCACAATTGTCGATGGAGGCCGTGGTAGAAATAAAAGAGAAGCTAGCACGGAAGCAATACGGCTGACAGCAGCAACAAGGGCAAACCAGGTGACGCTGATGGAGCACAGCGTCAACAAAAGGAGGGGGGGGTGTGACGTTTAACGCACAATCGAACTAAATAAATAGAAATAAGAACAAGAATAAATAAATAGAAATAAGAACAAGAATCAATAAATAGAAATAAGAATAAGAACAGACACCTGGAGTCACAAAATACAAATAATACAAATAAACACATGAAGTCACAAGAGATGTATTAAATAATAAGAAATAAGAATAAAACATGAAGTACAACAAAGACAAGAATAAAATGAAGTCAAAACCCACCGCGAAGAGCACCAGTTTAATTCAAATGCGCGCGCGCGCCATGAGCAGAGACAAAGGGTCACACTGGCCCGCTAAGGGTCTGGCCACACTATTAGGGCCACACTTCGGGTGCGACAGCCACACTCGATCGCTCCAGAGCCCTATATAAGGCGAGCCTCAGCCCTTGGAAGGCATTCAGTTTTCGGCCAGCAATCGGCCAAGTCCTCTACAGGAGCAAGGGTAAGCCAACAGGAAGGAGCCGCCTAAGGAGCAAGGACGAGTAAGGTATATTGGTAAAGTGGTAACTAATAGTCGGACCCCGACCATACCTTATGTATATAACTTGTGGAAGACCTTAGGGCCTCTCTGTACGTCTCAATATTGGAAGACCTAAGGGCCTCCCCATAAGTCTATATCTATCTCGGTAGACCTTAGGGCCTCCGTGCACGTCTCAATCTTAGAAGACCTAAGGGCCTCTAACAACTTCTCAATCTTAGAAGACCTAAGGGCCTCTAACAACTTCTCAATCTTAGAAGACCTAAGGGCCTCTAGCAACTTCTCAATCTTAGAAGACCTAAGGGCCTCTAACAACTTCTCAATCTTAGAAGACCTAAGGGCCTCTCGCAACTTCTCAATCTTAGAAGACCTAAGGGCCTCTAACAACTTCTCAATCTTAGAAGACCTAAGGGCCTCTAACAACTTCTCAATCTTAGAAGACCTAAGGGCCTCTAACACTTCTCGATCTTAGAAGACCTGAGGGCCTCTAACAACTTCTCAATCTTAGAAGACCTAAGGGCCTCTAACAACTTCTCAATCTTAGAAGACCTAAGGGCCTCTAACAACTTCTTAATCTTAGAAGACCTAAGGGCCTCTAACACTTCTCGATCTTAGAAGACCTGAGGGCCTCTAACAACTTCTCAAGCTTAGAAGACCTGAGGGCCTCTACAAACTTCCCCTATTAGAAGACCTGAGGGCCTCTACCAACTTCTCCTCTTAGAAGACCTGAGGGCCTCTAACCAACTTCTCGATCTTAGAAGACCTTAGGGCCTCTACCCACTGATCTCTTGGTGGAAGACCTCAGGGCCTCCGCATATTTCACTAACTTGAAAGACCTTAGGGCCTTCACCGATTACTCTCGCTCATCTAGGAAGATAGACCACTCGAACACCAGCACGGGAACGGGCCACGGACCCCAGGGCGACGGAACGCATCTCGAAAAGGACGAGCGGACGGCGGACCACTAGGCGACGAAACGCATCCGAAGAAGGACGACCCGAGCCGGCGCACGGCGAACTGGAGCAGATATTCTCAATTGCCAACACCAAAACCCCGTCTTACCTCTTTGTACCCTTATCTACAATAAATTGTTTAGTCCAAGTATAACCTAACTATCGGCCTTCTCCTCTGGAACCCGGATCGAAAACTTCCTTACAGCAACCACCTCAGACAACAAATAAATATCTGAGACGAACCCTGGCCATCCTTGAGCCCCGAGGTATGACTAACTGGCGAAGCAAACTCTGACGTACTTGGTTTAATTATACCTTCCTTAAGCCATTCTTCGACCTAAGCATCAACTACCTTTTGATCGCAATAGGCCAAACGCCTTGGATGTTGATATACTGGCAATTCATCTGTCAACAAAATCTTCATCTCCACTGGCGAACTATGATTTCTCTTCGGATTATAATTCTTCACCAACAACCCTACTTCTGCAGCGACACCTTAAGTTAAATGATCCAATTCCAACCCTAACTCTCGATCTTCTGTGCTTAACATGCAAAGGCTACCAAATTCATGCATTAATTGCATGCAGGAACTCTCAGTTATCTGCTCCTGGTCTTGTTGGATGCACTGCACCCTTTTCGAAAACACAGTTCCTTTCTTCGTGACGACGTTCTCCAAGATTGTTGTCCCTAAAATAGCATCGAACTTCATATCTTCGTCTGGAATTACGTGGAATTCCATCCACATTTCAATGCCGTCGATACTGACTGGCGCTTTGAAGCCGCCGAAAGTCAGCACCAGACTTTCTCCAATTCCTCTCAAAAGTCTTTGCCTGCCCATCAAATTGCCTACGCCTACGCCAAGTTTTAAGAATACACGCCTACGCATTAAGCAAAGCTCTGCTCCTGTATCGATAAGTCCTTTGAATTCAACATTCAAGCAAAAAACCGATTTCAGCTCAAGACCGCAAGCAACTGGTTCACGAGCTTGCTTTGGGACTACTTTCTCTGCCTGAACCACATTTGTTCTCTCCTCAGTTTTGACTTGAGCCTCTGCTCTGCATTGCGCTGCTCGGTGTCCTGGCCGATTACATTTGAAACATTTCTCCTGCACTGGACAATCTCTTTTCATATGTGACGGATCTCCACACCTGGAACATTTCCTCACAGAGTCCATTGTCTTTTCTTTATTGAATTCGGTCCCTGCCTTACCGCCCTGGGAAGTGTACTTGTTATCTGACTTATATGTGCTTCTTGCTTTTTGGTATGCTTCAATCTGCCACTTCAAGTCTTTTAAATTTCTAGCCTGGTACAACATAGATTTATTTGACCTTGCATCTGGAATTCCTTCTACGAAGTACTCAATCAGACTTTCATCTTTCAAACGGATAGGTTTAGCTATCTCCATTAAGGCATAGAGATACTCTTGCAAAGATTCTCCCTTATGCTGACGACGTTTTCCCAACCTGTAATCCAAACTCCTGCAACAACGCTGACTTCAAACTTTCCCAGTCATTAATACCTCTCTGGCTACGCACAAACATTTTTGCTGCTCCACTCAGTAACTGTTTTGCATAAACAAACTGCTGCAGTGAACTCCACTCTACGGTAGCTGCACAATCTTCTAGCTCTTCAATCCACAGATCTATGTTGGGAACACCTACACCTGAAAACTGAGAAACACTTCCTTCGACGTCTTTCAAAGTAAGCCATGATCTAGTCTGTCCCTGCGCTTTTTGGCCATGTTGTCTAACTGCCCTGTTGCGGTTATTAATCGGTGTGGAGGATGTTGACGTAAACTCAGCGGCCTCACACTCATTCTCTGACTCACCCTCATCTATCAACCCATAATGAGTTAGCAATCGTTGCTGTAGTTCAGCTTTCAATCCGGTTGTATTCAACTGCAGCTCTGACAACTTCCGTCTCAATTCTTCCACTCGCAATGCCAAGATCTCACTTCTCTCCATTTTACTAATGTATCCTGCAGAAAATTACAATTAATATGATGACAAAGCGTCTTAACTCTAATTTCTTTTGATCAAATTGTAAACAATAGCTCTTTTTTTTTTTTTATTGATATAGATATGTACAAACAGGAAAAGTAGGAGAAAGAAAGGAAAAGTAAAGGTCCACTCCCGCGGGACTGCCGCAAAGCTATACTTCGCGGGACGGCAGGCGGTCAGGTGCCGCTCATCGTTCGCCGTCCATGCATCGGATCTTCTCACGGCGCCTCAGCTCTCTCAGTACGGTTGCTGCCATGTTCGTAACCGCCTCCCAATTGGACGGCGTCTCCAGCATACAGCTCGTTGCTGCTTCCAGGGCATGAGAAGAATGCATGCTCTGCGTCCTCAACGACTCCGCTGCCGCAGTAATCGCAGAAGGGATCAGCCTCGTGTTTGAATCTATGGAGGTATGCCTTGAAGCATCCATGGCCTGTAATCAGTTGCGTCGTGTAGAAATCCATCTGCCCGTGTCTTCTATATAGCCATGGTTCCAGTTCGGGGATGAGTCGGTACGTCCACCGTCCAGTGCTCGCACTATCCCACCTCGTTTGCCATAGGGAGATGGTTCTGCTCCGCTGGGTTCCACTACCCGAGTTGCCAGTCCTGCGCTCAGCTGCCAGTAGGTCGATTGGGATTGTTCCAGCCACAACCAGTGCAGCCTCTTCCGATACTGTGCAGAAGCAGCTGGAGATGCGCAGTGCGCAGCGTCTATATACCATCTTGCATTGTCGACCGTAGCTCGCGGTCGACATAGCTTCCGCCCATATCGGCGCGGCATATAGGATGGTAGACGTCAAACAACAAACAATAGCTCTGTCTTTGCACCAAAGA